AGCTTCGTTTCACTCAGCACACACTGGTTTTCCCTTTAATTTATTCAACTCCTGTTTGAGATGTGTGTGTGTGTGTGTGTGTGTGTGTGTGTGTGTGTGTGTGTGTGTGTGTATACATGTGTATGACTTGGATTTAACTCTATATGTGTGGACGTAAGCTAGCTTTATCTCTGTATGTATATGTAACTTGGATTCAACTGTGCATATATGTGCATGTAACTATTGTTTAGAAACACATGTATTAAGCAGCAACCACGTGGCTCTTCTCCATCTTGGCTGGTGACCTCATCATGATGTAGGCAGCCACATGGCTGGCAGCCATCTTTTACTAAGGTTAAAGAGTACATTTCTTAGTCCTAATGAGTTCTCTGTTCATTGTATCTCCCTCTAGGCTAAGTCTCAAATATTTTGGATTGGTATGAACTTTTATATGATGATAAAAATATATGGTTAGATTTATTACAACATACTGCATATGTGATTCAACTCTGGTTTAAAATATACTCTATATGGTGATAAAAATTTAAGGTTATGAAGATCTACTCATATTAACAAAAAATAACTTAGAGACTTATACCTGAGTAGTTATGTCTTTGCCAAGCTTCTAGAGAACTTAAGTAAGTGGTCACATGTGTTTGATAAACAAGATATATATTCTATAATGAAATGACTGGTCCCCCGAGAAGGTCCTTTTCCCAGAGTTGGGCATTTGGGCAGATGCCCCCATGGCCTGTCAAGGACAGTGCTACCCTCTGTGTTCCTTTAGTCCCTGCTCATGGGCCCCACCCAAACTCACATGCCCCCTTTCTCCTGTTCCGATTTCTCTCTGGGATCTTTCCTTTGTCATTTTCCTTGTCTTCCTAGGAGGCAGCCTTAACAGCTTCGTACAAACTTGTTCTATTTTTACCCACAGAATGGCTCTTTTAGTTTCTTTACTGAGCCCATTACCTATGGTTAAAAGGTTTTAGTTTGATACTAGAAGAGCTTTAATTCAAAATCATTATTTTTAAGGCTAAACCTGACAGGAATAGAATGTAAAGTCCTAGTCTTGTGAAAGGTGCTAACTTATTGTAGACTGTTAGGGACACAAGTTAACAATCATCCTTATAAATGATCAAGTTCCTTAATTACAGTCATGCTAAGTACTAATATAATTAATTACAGGGATAAGCCTTATTCAGTCCCCTGTATGTATTTTCTAAGTTAAGCTTAAAACAAGTAACTAGAAACAAAGTTTATCCATTCTGATATACCTAATAGACAGACAGTCCTCAAATGCTCAGAGATCTGCAGAAGATGGCATTTAAAATATTTAATTAAAAAGCTTTTCATGTTAGAGAGACATGCCAGCTCCTGGCAGCAACCCTGTCTCCTCCAAAGCAGATGGCTGGGCGCAGAAGAACCTCCACCTGGAAACTTGCTTCAAATGTGGCAGTGCCAGCCACCAAGCAAAAACCTGCCCTCCACCTCAACTGCTCCCAAGACCCTCTCCAGGCTGTGGACAACAGGACACGGGGGACTCGACTGCCTTGAGTTGCCTTGACAAGGTAAGCTGGGCCTGGTCCCCACAAGTTCCTACTCCAGAGGAAGTCTGTTGGATCTCCTGGCCCTGGCAGTGGAAGACTGATGCTGCCCCGACACCTCTTCCCTCAGTGACCATGGAGGACCCTGGGTGGCAGTCTAGGTAGCCAGCAAGTAAGTCTCTGTCATTTCATTTGCTGATTCAGGTAAACTTTACCCTTCTCAGAACTCGATGCTGTTTGACGACTAGGCCAGTGGTAGCTTTGTCAGGTCAACAGCAGCAATCAAGGCCTCCTCCGCTGCCTCCTCAGCTCGCTGTGTAAAATTCACAGGCCTCACTCTCCTGGAGCTAATACGAAGTCTAGACACAGTTCACCTTGCTACCAGACTCAGAAAAGAGATAAACTCACAAAACGGATTTCAATGTACCTTTTTCCATTCTTTTATTTAAAGGAACTTGCTTTGCAGTGACTGCTCTCAATGGTCAGCCACCTGTATCTCCTGGTGAATTAGATAGAAAGAAGGTATTTTAAGGTGTAAAGTTTCTGTGAGGATATGAAAGCTTAAGATGTGAGGATCTAAGAATGTTTTAGGGTCTAAGAATGTGACTTAAGGTGTGCAAATGCAAATCGCTAAGGTCTGAGGATGAAAAGGTTTAAGTGATGAAAAGGAGAAAGTGACTCGAGATGTATGAAAGAACGAAACATGTTCCAGACTCCTCTCCCTCACTGTGTTACTGTTCATAACTAACGTTAACTGATGAAATTCTGACAAGCCATTCATCTAGCTCTGGCAGAGCCCTAAACACCACACTACCGCCACACTATCACAGCCACAAGCTCAGGATTTGAAATTCCCTTTGGTTGTTTTCGAACTATAAACTTAAAAGGTGCTTTTCATTGTGCAAAAAACGTCACAGTTTTCCAGATAGAAAATAATTTCTGGGTCCCCAATGACTCAAAGGTGTACATATGCTGCCTTTTCTACAATGTGGATTTCAGTACAGATTATAAGCAGTGGGAATGCTAATGTGTCTAAAATTTATCTTTTTACAAACTCAAAGAATTCTCATAAGCTCCAGGGAGTCAACTTGGATCCACCTCGAACAGGTCAGATGCACCCCTCGGTTATGTACTTTCAATCAACAGCCCAAGCCTCCCTGCCTTTCCCTGGCCTTGGGACTCCCTCCATCCACTACCAAGACCTAAGGGAAAAAAAACTGCCCCCCAAACTTAAGTTTATCTTCTGCCCTGCCAACATCTTGCCAGATCCAAGCAATGCCAGTTCCACAGAGCCTGGGCAGCAGTGAAACAACCAGCTACCCCAGGATGTGGCCAGCACCCCAGTTTTCTCAGGTGCCCCTAGATGACCAACTCCCCCCAAGTCAACAGGAAGCAGTCTGGAGAACTCAGCATCCTCGTTCCCACCCCACTTGCTATCCCCTTCTAACGTCTCACCTTTTTAATAATAAACAAAAGGGAGGAATGTCTGCAGACAAATTTCTAAATGGTCTTATTAAATAAAACACACGGAGCCAGAAATTTGGGTTCAAGCCTTAGAAAAATCAGGGAAATACGGAAAGCCTCCAGCTAACCTCACCTCACCAACTCTGCAGCTTCCAAGGAGAGCAACTTCCTGTCTACCCAGGCTTAGATGCCTTGCTTTTCTGCCCTCTCATTGGCTCTTAGCCCAGCTACCTCTCTTCATCTTCCTACACAGTTCTGTCACTGTCTGTCTGTCTGTATAGACGTCCAGGTCTCTATGGTTGGTACTGGGATTAAAGGCGTGTGTCACCATGCTTGGCTCTGTTCCCTAGTATGGCCTTGAACACACAGAGATCCTGCCTCCTAAGGAATTAAGGGCATGTGTTGCCTGACTTTATTTACTTTAAATGGCTGGCCTTTTCCCCCTGATCTCCAGGCAAGCTTTATTTATCAAAGCACAAATAAAATATCACCACAAATGTTAGCATTCAGGCATCACCTGGCCTGACCCTTGGGGACCTGGCAGGAAGTGTCATCCCTGAGCACATGTGCTTGCCAGTATTCAGGCAGATGCGCTGGCCAGCCCAGGGTCCTATGACCCTGGTAGTCTATGCACATGTGCTACGTCCCCTCATAAAAGGTGGGCCCCTCCCCGCCTTCCCTCTCTTCTCTTCTCAGCTCTTGTCTCCAGAGGCCGCACTCGGTGCCTCTTCCTTCTCTTCCCCCAATAAACCCTCCACATGAGCCCTGTTGCATGGTGTGTCTGTCTGCTCTCACATGCTGTTTTAAAATTTTTTAAATTATAACAGAAAGCAGCTTTAATTTAGAAAGAGTAAAATGAATAAATAGAAGTAGGGTTTTGTTTTGTTTGGGGTTCCTGTTGTTTAAGACAGTCTCCATTTTTAGCCCAGACTGTCCCAGAACTCAAGATCCTCCTGCCTCAGACTCTGGAGTATGCCAGCATGGTTCATGGAAGTGCTTTGAAAACAACATCCTTAGACAAGCTCATGCACAATGCTCACCACAAAGCTTTATAGGTAGTCCCTGGATAATGTGAAAAGCAAGTGACCACACATAAAATTCCAAAGAACACTCATTTCTCTGTGTTTCTCCTATGCTTCCAGCTATTTGGACTTAAGACAAAGACCTGCCTTCCAACCTCAGGGATAGCATAAGGGCATGTGGGCTACCAGCCCATGCCAAGGTCATGGGTAGCAGCAACAGGAGGCCAGCTATCAGGAGCACACAGTAGATCTACCTCCTCCACTCTCCAGCTCTCGGAGCATGGGCCCACTGTAAAGAGCACAGGGTTCTTCGGAGCATGGGCCCACTGTAAAGAGCACAGGGTTCTGACGGAAAACACCCAATCAAACATCATGTGTTTGATGTCAACTCCCTGCTCAAGAATGTGACTCCAGATGTGAAAATTTGTTCTCATGATGAAAAGAAAGAACAAAGTCTGTCATGAAGAAACCTGTTTTAGGGTGGTTTGCTTTGTGTGGAGATTGCCAGAAACTTTTCATGGTAGTGACTGAGGATGGGCTTGTTCTCTGAAATGGCTGATGAACTGGGCTTGTCCCCATTACTTCACATTATCATTTCAAAGGTTCTTCATGTTTGTTTCTGGTTGAATACCCTCTTGGGCTGCCACTCCCCAAATGTCATCTTGAATCTTTCTGCCCTACAGAGGCTCTGAGGAAACACATCCTTAAATGCCTCAGGAACCCTGTTAGAGTTCTGAGCTGTAAACAGCACTTGTGAGTGAGCTGGCTGGACCCTGTGCTTGCTTTCCTGGAAGGCAGCACACCTCTCAAGTCCCGCTCCAGGCTCTCCTTGTGGGCCTCTGGCGGTCTCCCATGATGCAGGAAGAAGTGACTCTGAAAATCCTGTTTTGTTTTTTTTTTTTTTTTCAGAAGTAGGAGGAAGATCTGAAATAGGCCTGGCAGCTTGATCAGTGTTGGCTGCCTCTGCCAACAATATGTGAAATGTGTTTTTCAAGGATAAGAAGCTTGGGCCCCAGGCCAAAGCTCATGTCTGCCATCAGCAAGAAGATACATGATCACTGTGACCCCGCTAAGCTGTTTACCTTTGTGCTTAAACAGGAATCAATGCCTTCCGCAGTCCCAGGGCTGCTCTCCCTTTAACAGAACCCCACTGCCGGGTGGGTGTGACCGTGCCAGTCTCCAGTGAGGTGAGACTCCACACAGCTCCATTCCTGCCAGCTAAGCTTTCCTTGTTGCCTAAGAGGCTCAGCAAGGTGAGTGCAAACACTCTTGCTTTTAACACCTACACAGGAGGTTCCAACGAGGTCAGAAGAATCTGTGCATGCCTGAGGTGTCCCTGGGCAAGAGCGATTTGGTAGAACACGGTATTTATTTGTTATGCAAAGCTTCATCCTCAAATACCAGCTCACTGAACTGCTCAGAATGTCCTTGCAGGGACGTCTGACGCACCATGCTTCCTGTTTTTGTAGAGTCAGCACAGCAGTGCTCAAAGCGTTAAGGCATGAAAGGAGGCAGTGCGGCAGCAGGGCCAGCGGCTTCCCTCCTAGGGAAATGATGCTCTCTGGTAACTAAGCCGGTGATCCTAACTCCTTGCCTAACAGTGTAAGGAAGTGTTCAGGGGAAGCTGGGATGAGCTTCTACTTGGTCCCACAACACCCGAAGGCCTGGCTAAAATAGAGACAGAGATGGATAAGTCTCATCAATCAGCTTCTCAAACTGGGGTGCGTGTGTTTGGGAGGGCAGCAAGGGTGGGGTGAGCCTGAGAAGAGAAGCTACCGAAGAAAAACAGCATAATCTCCGTCGTTTCCCCCAGATTTGTAAATGAAATGCTTGCTGTTTTTTTTTTTTTTTTTAGCTTTAAGTGTAATTAACTTAAGCAGTCCTCTTACCCCTCTGACAAACCTTCCTTTTCTGAAGAGGATCTGGCTAAGCCCACACTGTACGCTAGCTATTCCTCACAGGCTGGTCATGTTCACTTCCGTCTCTGGTTCCACAAGTGCGTGGAGCTCCTGCTGCACCGCAGATGAGAAAGACTCGGCTCCCTCCTGGGGAGACCTCAGTCCAGCTAGGAGGAGCAAGTCAGCCTTTGATGTGGGTCTGCTGGGGGGCCACAGATACAAGATCCCAGAGCTGGTGAGGAAAGCTGGCCAGGGGTAGAAGAGGAGTGAGCTGAATAAGGTTCATTCTCTGAGCCCTTGTGTGACATGGCCACATTCTTACCTATCCAGCTTCCAGTCCCCACTGCTTCCCTGCCAGATGCAAAATTTAGAAAGATGGCTCTGAGCCAGCTCTGTTGTTTGGGGCTGCATTCACTATCTGCCTCCCAGGACCTGAGGCTCACAAGCCCGGAGCTTGGGACATGGCCTGCGGTGAGCTGGAATTAAGTAATGTCATGCTCATCTTAACTCCACAGACACTGCTGACCCCTGGGCTTCAGGAACAGAGTTGGGCAGTAAGTTGACAGCCTCCAGTCTGGAATCCTGCCCACTGGGCGAGGCGAGCAGGCCTGCTGGAATTCCTGGTTTGTTTCCAGCAGAGACCCGAAATGGATTCTGGTTGTTGCTTCTTGGTGTTTTCCATGGTGGGCACCTCGGCCAGCCCTACCTCAGGAAATGTTCCCCAGCATCCCCCCACCTCCACCCAGAAGCCCTCTTCTCATTCCTTGCTACACAATGTCCAATTGAATGTACCTCCTCCTACAGCTGGCCTGGCTCCTCAGTAGGGCATCACTTCTTCCTCTCAGGCTCAATGACTCATTGTTTTGTGAAATCTTAAGAGGCTCCACCTCATCCATTTGTTCACTCCTCTCCATATGCTTTATTCATTCCAAAACCAATATTTGTTTTTCTGATGAAAACTTGAGGCTCACTGGCTTCCTCCTCCTGGGACTCCCACAGCCCTTTGCTCTCTGCTATAGCTTAAGAATTCAGCCCTAGGATCCGTCTGTTGACTTGTCTGTCTCCTCCTTAGGCACTGAGCAGATTCTGTAGGGTGGGGCTTGCTTCTGCTGCTATGAAGGCCTCAGTCAACACCATAAGTCTGTAAATGTTGTGATTCAGACAACCATCTTTAACCTGTGTGATCTAAAGTCTCTTATTCATTCATTTACTTATTATTTATTTTTTAGAATGGGTCTTATGTTGTCATTCTGGATGGCTTAGATTTCGATTTGTAGATTCAGCTGGCCTCAAACTCAGAGAGATCTGCCTGCCTCTGCCTCCTGAGTGCTGGGATTAAAGGTGTGTGTCCTCAAATATCTTATTTAGATTTCATCTATCTTATTGAATTATGACGTTAGATAACCTGGGCTCAGAAAACAGCATTAAACTGCTATTATTCTCGTTATTATTTCTTCTTACTCAGGAGTCTCTGTCTCCTGGAAGCAACCATGAGACAATAGACTGACTTCTTCACCTGCAGTCAGGCAAAGACCTTCCTGGGGTGGCATGGTGCACTGCAGGCAGAGGAATTGCCAGGAGGGCTGAATGGCTACAGCACGTGCTTGACCCGGGATGGATCCAGCAATTTCACACTCACTAAGTTGGTCTCCCTTAGCCGTCCCATGTAAGGAAGCATCCAGGTGAACTTCTGTGCTTTTTCACTTCTAGCACGTGTTTTCACGTGTCTGTTGTCTGTGTTTCCCCGTATGATGGCTAATTCCATCAGAGACCGCAGCAATTCCCTACTTAGAACAGAATTCAGCAAAGCAGGTGAGCCATCAGGGCAGACAAGCGTGGCTTGCACCTGGCCACAGACCATGTTGGCCCTGGTTGGTGCATGGGCCAATCCTGGAAAGTACAGGGTCCTTTGGGGTACTAAGAGGTCAGCCATGTTGGTGAGTGGACCACGAGAGTTTGGTGGATAGGGCGGGTGGTTGGGGTAACAGGAAAAATGATGTAATCTGTGCGGGTCATCAGAGCAGAGGAGAATTCATGTGAAAGCTATGAAGAATGCTGGGTAAGGGCTGGCGAGATGGCTCGTCAGGCAAGTGGGCTTGGTGCCAGCCTGAAAACTTGAGATCAATCCTTGGAAATCAAATAGTTTAAAGAAGAGAACCGATTCCCATGAGTGGACCTGATGTCCACACATGCACATAAACTATTTATGTGCATACGTATGTATTACTAATACATATGTATTAAAGGATGCTTACTGACAAGGCTTGATGATTGGTGGCATGTGGGGCACAGTGAAAGGGGTCACAGGTGACCTAGCAGAGAATGGGAACGTGATTGGAGGCAGGATGTGTAATAGGGAAAATTTTTGACTCAATACTCCCGTAAAGGTATGAAAACCATTCTCTTATAAGCATTGCTTGACACAAACCCAAGGAAAAGGGATTCATGACTGGAGCCAGGGCCTGAGTGTGCATCACCAGAAGTCTATCTCAGTCCTGCAGTTCACAGAACCCCAAAGAGAAGGTTATGAGGCGCTGGCTGTCATTTCTGTGGTCAACAGCTGTGGTGGTTGAATGAAAATGCCCCCATAGGCCCATAGGGAATGGCACTGCTAGGAGATGTGGCTTCCCGGAGTGGAGGTGGCCTTGTTGGAGGAAGCGGGTTATGGGGATAGACTTTGAGGTCTCAGAAGCTAACGCCTGCCTAGTGCCTCGCAGATCTCTTCCTGCTGCCTGTGGATCCACATATAGAACTCTCAGCTCCTTCTCCAGCACCATGTCTGCCTGCATACTGCCATGCTTCCCGCCATGATGATAATGGACTAAACCTCTGAACCTGTAAGCCAGTCCCAATTACATGTTTTCCTCTATAGGAGCTGGCGTGACGTGGTGTCTCTTCACAGCAATAGGACACCGACTAAGACAGCTGCAGGCTGGAGAGCCTCCATCTCACTTGGCTTTTCTACAGTTCCCTTTAAAACGTTTTTTCTATGGATTGATTGTTGTTGTTGTTCTGTTGGTTTATGTAGTCCTGGACGGCCTGAAGTTTGCTATGTAGACCAGGCTGGCCTCAAACTCACAGAGATCTGTCTGCTTCAGCCTCCTGAGTGCTGGGATTAAAGGTGCACTACCATGCCAGCCTCCTTTTAAAATACTTTTGTACTTTCAACTTTCATGTGGTGAAGTGTGTTTTGAGCACGTGTCTCTGTGGATACATATGCATACAGCCACATAAATACCATCCAAATCAAGATACTGAGCATCCAACCCAGTGGGTTCTGTGCCTCTTCCCAGTTCTTACCCAGGGTTCCCGCTACTCTGCATCTTCATCTAGGGCTCTTCTGGTTCTTGAGTTTTGTGTAAACAGGACCACACTGCATATGCTTGCTTTTGGTTTTGGTTTTGTGTGCTTTTTGGTTCTCTCAGCATAATTACTGTGAGGTTCACACTGCTGTGAGTCTTAGGAATTTGCTTCCTTTAATAGCTGTGATCTTCCTTTGTATAGACATACCGTAGCTTTTCTACTATATCCTGTTGATGGGAATGTAGGTTGTTTGGTCTAAAACTGCAGCCAACTTTCTCATACAAACCCTTTTGTGTCTACTCACTTTGTACACATGTATGTGGTATGCATGCGTGCATGAGGGGTATGTGTGTGTGCTCATGTGTGCAGGTACACATTTGTGTGTGTGGTGTGCATGTGTATGTGGTATGTGGGGAGTGAGTGCATGCTTGTGTGTGTGTGTGTGTGTGTGTGTGTGTGTGTGTGTGTGTGTGTGTATGCATGTGTGTTCGTGTGCACATGTGAGTCCAGAGGATGAGAGGATGCCCGCAGGTGTTGTTCCTTTTCAGGTGCCATCTGCCTTCTTTCTTGATACTGGATCTCTCACTAGGACCTAGCACTTGCCAATTAGGCTCGATGGTCTTGACCCACCTCTCTCCACCCACTCCCCATTGTGACTCTAAGAGCATACCACCCACTGGTTTTTCTTTAATGTGGATGCTAAGGGTCAAACTTTACTGACTGAGCTTTTTCTCCAGTTGGGGACACCCACTTTTAACCATTGCAGGGAGGCTGTACTTTTTGTGTTTTTAGTTTTATTTTAAAATGTATCATCATCATCATTTGTGTGTGTTTGTGTGTGTGTGTGTGTGTGCAAGGTATGTGTCTTAGTTAGGGTTTTATTGCTGTGAAGAGACACCGTGACCAGGGCAACTCTTACAAAGGAAAGCACTTAACTGGGGCTGGCTTACAGTTCAGAGATTAGTCCACTATGGTCACAGCAGAAAGCATGGTGGCACACAGGCAGACACAGCGCTGGAGAGGGAGCTGAGAGATCTACATCTGGATCCACAGGCAGCTGGAGAAGACAGTGAGACACAGGCCTGACGAGCATCTGAAACCTCAAAGCCCACTCCCAGTGACACACTTCCTGCAGCCAGACAAGGACACATGTCTGAATCCTTTCAAATAGTGCCACTCCCTATGAGCCTATGGGGCCATGTTTATTCAAACCACCGTGTGTGTGTGTGTGTGTGTGTGTGTGTGTGTGTGTATGTGGAGCACATGTGCTACAGAGCACATGTGGAGGTCATAGGGTGACTGTGTGGAGTCAGTTGTCCCTTCCGCCTTTGTGTGGGTTCCAGGGATTGAGCTCAGGTCACCAGGCTAGCACGACAAGCCCTTGTACTCACTGAGTCATCTTGCTGGCCTATTCCAACGTTACAAAGGGGAAGCCGGTCTTGGCTTGAGGCTGGCAAGTCCGAGGAACTCGGGTTCCACTGGCCACATGATGTTACATCACCTCTGTCGTTTATGCTTTGTTGGAGAAAAGAAGATCTGAGGAAAAAGATACAAGGGATTTTAGAGAATCATTTTGTTTTTTCTTCCTTCCTTCCTTTCTTTCTTTCTTTCTTTCTCTCTCTCTCTCTCTCTCTCTCTCTCTCTCTCTCTCTCTCTCTCTCTCTCTCTCTTCTCTCCTTCCTTCTAGACATGGTTTCTCTATTTAACAGCCCTAGCTGTCCTAAAACTCACTATATAGACCAGGCTGCCTCAGATTCACAGAGCTCTGCCTGCTTCTGCCTCCTAAAGGCATGCTCCACCAAACCTGACAAGTACATGGCAAAGTCTTAACCAAGTTAGTCCCAAGGGGTTCTTTATCCTAGTGAAGAGGAGTACTGACCTGCTCTCCTTTTGTACACTTTTTTTCTGAGACAGAGTCCCACACTGTAGCCTAGGCTGGCCTCAAAACCCACAGCAATCTTCTTGCCTCAGCCTCCTGTGTGCTGGGCTGACAGGTGAGTGCCACCACACACGGCTTTTTTTCTTTTTAAAGATTTATTTTTATTTTATGTACATTGGTCTTTTGCCTGTACATATGTCTGTGTAAGGGTGTCAGATCTTAGAGTTATAGACTGTTGTGAGCTGCCATGTGAGTGCTGGGAATCGAACCCTGGTTCTCTGGAAGAATAGCCAGTTCTCTTTACCACTGAGCCATCTCTCCAGCCCCTACCATGTATAGCTTGAGCTATCATTTTCAGATACTTACAAAGGAGTTTGCTGAGGTTTTTGTTTTGTTTTGTTTTGTTTTGTTTTGTTTTGTTTGGAGACAAGGTCTCTCTACATAGTCCTGGCTTACCTGGAACTCACTGGGTAGACCAGGCTAGCCTCGAACTCACCAGCTCAGGAGTTTTCATTCTTAACAAGGAAAGAGATGAGATAGGATGTTGATACAGGAAACCAGCAGTGTACTTGGGAAACGACCTTGAGTCACCTGTGGCCCCAAGTGAAGGGCATGACTTTCCTACATCATATGTGGAAAACATTTTCTCTTCCCTCTGATCATCACCATCCTGTTAAGCATCATTTCCCAGGTTTCAAATGAAGAAGGGACTCTCCTAATTTCTGCAAAGATCTTCTTTCCATGTTTCCCTTTTAGTCTTTTCCCAAATGATTCTCATCTCCATGGCAACATTGCCGGTAAATAATCAGTTTCCCAACACTAGACTCCTTCTCAGGCATCACAGGCTTCAGAAGAGTGAGTCGTCATTGATTAGGAAATTGCTATGTGCTGGGTAATACATGAGGCAGTTTATAGTCATTTTACCTTAACCCATACACAAGACAAGGGAGAAGGTCAGAAGTGCAAAGAGGTAGGCAGCCCACCCAAAGACACACAGCAGAGCTAGAACATGATCTCATGTACTTTTGGCCCGTTGGCCTAGTGCTAAGTGTGTTTGAGTTGAGGCTTACGGGAAGGGCTGAAGAGCATAGGCCAGCTTGAGGTTGAAGCAAGAGGATTTGGAGAGAGCAACCACACCCCCCACCTCCTGATAGCTATTCACAGCACCCCCATTCCTACTAGCTATATGCAGCCCACACCCCTCCTCCTTAAGCAAATACACTCCTGGCCTCTGACGGCAGAGCCAGAGTGATGTTGTGCATTCTGACTTCAGAGGACAGCAGATCAGTCTCTCTGCCTGCCTGTGTTAAGAGAAAAGCCTCCATAGAAACAGTCATAGAGAAACATTTAGGAGAACAAGAGGCTTAGCCCGATGTGCAGCAGATGCCAATAACCCTAGCACTCAAGAGGCCGAAGCAGGAGGATCCAGAGTTGTGACCAGACTGGGCTACACAGAGATATCTCAAAGAATGAGAAGGAAAATAAGTATGTAAACAAATACTTTCTGTATTTCACAAAACAGTCTGCAGTTGGCATGGTGCAGGATGAGATCAGGGGAAGCAGTTCAGAGGAAAGAGCAAGCATTCCACAGATGGTTCCAGAAAGAAGTCCACTCATCTTGAACACTGGATTGTAAGTATTAGTAGGAAACCTGGGGGGCAGGGTCTGAGGACAAAGGTAAAAGAAGGTACCCCTTCCCTGGTGTCAAACTCAGCACTTAGTCATAACTCAGTGCACCCAGGTGAAGCTGTCTTTAAGCCATTGTTCGATTGCTCTAGACTTAAGTGAGTTCAAGGCATTATGGCTGGTGGAACCCTTTCCTGGAACCCTAACATTAGGGTCTGAATTCTTGGAGGTGTTGCCATCTAGGATTCAGGAACCGAGTTTGCTTTCTCTACCAACTAAAGAATTAAAAGGCTGGAAAGAGTTTGAAAGTCAAACAAAGCCAATGCTTATTCTCAGCAAAATAACAAGCTTAGAGGCCAATTCCTTGTGGAAGGAGGGGATCGAGTCCAAAGCTGGAGTTCTACTGGGGTGCCAGACTGTGCCTGGAAACCAGGGTCCCCTTTGAGGTTCTTAGTCTCACAAACAGACTCAAACAGAATCTCCAGGACAACATCAGTAGTGTTAAAAGTAACCCCAGGGCAGGCAGGCATGAATGAGGTAGCTGCCCAGAGGGGAAGAATGGAGAAGAGAAGGGAACAAGCCATACTGTCTCAGTGACACTGGATGGAGGGCAGACACATTGGACAAACAGCCACATGGCAGGGAGGAAGGCTTTAGGGAAAAGAAGGAAGTCCAAAGTACCAGAAAAGGCCGACATTAAAGACAAGCAAACAAACAAAAACCAAGAAGAAGAGCAAAGAAAAAGAAAAGGTTGTTGGAAAGGTGGGCAGAGCCAGGCAAACCTCAGGGCTGCCCAGTGGGGATGTCCTAATGGGAGGGGATTCTGGGAAGGGAGCACAGCTTCTTATTCCACCTATCCAGTTAGCATGGCTTAAGTGAGCCTGCCTTCCTAGGGTAGCCCCTGGGCCAGGTGATTGGCCTGTATGACCCATTCACTTTTTTCTGTCTTGAGTAGTTTGGAATGTTGGCTCTCCACTAAGGCCAGAGATTTCGCCCTCCTGACCAGAATGAATTAGTTTTCCCTTGACGGCATGTCAGACTGACAAGCGGTTTCTCTGGTTGAAGGATCAAGGGTCCTGGTAGGTGGTCACCGCAGGGAAGGAATGCAGGAGCAGAACTAGACTGAGAGGCTCAGCATGGATGAGCACAGGGACAGGGGCCTCTCAGGAGGACATACCTTCCAGTCCAGCGAACAGTGGGTGTGACACATGTCCACTAGGCTCTGGACGCACTGGGCAAATGTTCTCTTTCATAGAAAGGAAAAGAAGGGAAAGGCTCTGGGTGCTGGCCTGCTGCAGTGTGGAAGCTGCAGGGGTTTGAGGAAGCCGTAGGCTTGGCCTGGGTGGACCACACAGCTGCTGGCAGGAGAGGAGCAGCCCAGGCCCCGAGCCAGAGCTCTTTCCCTTAGCTGGCCAGAACCACTGGCCTCACTCTTCAAGGCTCGACTCATGCCTGATGGTGGGGATAGAAAGAGCCCTGGGTGAGGAGTCAAACCTTGACTGAGCTAAATAACCCCTTCAACACGAGCACAAGCCATTGACACAGGACCCTCTGACCACCAAGGAACTCATCTGGAGTGTGACTCACACAGTCCTTCTGGTCCAACTAAGCTGACCCTTTCAGCCAAGTAGCAGCCCATCAGAATGCTCATGGCTCTTCCCCCAGGCCCCCCACTGGCCTTTAGAGAGTGATGGGAGAACTAGAGGCCCAGGCTATGTATGGGCTTCCCTGGTCAAATACTCTCTGAATTTGCTCCAGCTCCACAAGCCCAGGACCTTGCTTCCTGGTCTTCTCTCTCCTTCTCTCACTGCCCAGCGTAGGGCCGGGACATGTAGTTAGGAGGTACTGATGACCTGCTTTGTAATGAACCTTGTCAGAGACTATGATGTGGGGCCCAACAAACCCGAGTTCCAATTTAAGCCGTGCTGCTGCCTGCCGTCTGCGAGGCTGAGTTAGATGCTGGGTTTCTCTAAGGCTCAGCTTTCTTGTATATAAAGTGTGGCTAATTCTTCATGGGGCTTATGGGAGGATTAAACGCAGTGGCATATGGCAAGCAGGAGGGGGCCCAACAAATGAGTTTCCTTTATCCAAGCAACTGAAATCTCTGATCACTCCTCCCAGGAAAAGAAAGCCAGTGGAGCCTGTCAGGGGAAGGACCCTGTTGTTTTCAGAGCCACATCTGTCACTGTGGAGGGTGAACAACACATCTGCCGGGTTCCACACTCGTCCTAGGGAGAGACCTTATGCTGCAGCTGTTGCCCCAGCTGACCCACAGGGTGATGTTTGCAGTGGAGCTGTTAGAGCACAGCATGGCATGACCCCTGGATGTACAGCCCAATCCTGATGGCACCTGTTATCTCCACACTGACTCTCCAGCTCCTCCTGGGCCCTCAGCCTCTCAGCTAGGGGAGGAAGGGAAGGATTGGGAGGGATAGTCACTACAAAAACTGTCTAAGGAAACATATTAATCTTTAAACAGTTATTTTTATATGATTATTGTGTGTGTGCACGTCATGTGTTAGGGGTTATGCATGCCATGGTGAGCACGTGTGTGTGTGTGTGTGTGTGTGTGTGTGTGTGTGTGTGTGTGTGTGTGTAGATCACAGGACAACTCTGAGGAGTCAGTTCTATCCTGTCACTTTTACTCAGGTCACTGGGTTTGCACAGCAGATACCTTTACTCAATGAGGCATTTTTCAGACCTCCCATTAATCTGAAGAATGTTTCTGTATCATAGAAGAAAGACTTTTACTATGTGTGACTTGTTCTCATGAGCAGGAATTTCAACCCCAGCTTGCCCTCACCTGAACAAGCTCTGTGGTGTTTTACCCTAGTAGGATTTGAGTATTTGGTTACTGCAAGGTCACCGCACACGTTGGAGTCACCTTAGGGTTTACAGGACATGTTTAGGGACATTACTTCTCGTGATTCTCACTAAGGTCCCACAGGCAAGAAAGGAGTTCTTAGCCTGATTTTACAGGCAAAGATATTGAGTCTTATGGAGGCTGTACCAAATCAGATAGGTGTACCCAGGACAGGCAAGACCTCTGCAGAGAAGGAAGACAGTGGCCACTTCAGACCCAAAGCACTCATTCTGTCATTCTATGGAACGGTCATGTCACCTCCTGTCTTAGTCACTGTTCTGCTGCTGTGAAGAGACACCATGACTGCAGCAATTCTTATGAAAGAAAGTATTTAATTGGGGTTAGCTTACAGTTTCAGAGGTTTAGTCCATTGTTGTCATGGCAGGGAGCTTGATGGCAGACATGGTGCTGAAGAAGAAACTGAGAGTTCTACATCTGAATCTGCAGGCACCAGGAGGAGAGAAACCTCAAAACCCACCCCCAGAGACACAGTTCCTCAACAAGGCCACACCTCCTAATCCTTTTAATCTGTTCAAATAGTGCCACTCCCTGGCGACTAAGCATTCAAATATATGAGCCTACGGGGGCCATTCCTATTCAAACCACCACACCTCTAATACTCTAAAACAATGATTAGACTTTAGTATGAGTTTTGGTGGGGACATTCAAAACTATAGCACATGGAAACTAAGCATGGAGATTTCTGTCTCCTACTTTTGCATGCAATCCATTTCTTAGGAGACAGTGGTGATGGGAAGTCTCTGCACCTCTTCTGTGACCTCCTAAGAAGAACAGAACAGTGCAATTTGAATGAGTTGCCACATAGCTGTTCCATTAGTATCCAGTATTAGTAAGTGCTCAGTAAATTGTGTTACTTTCACAGCTGTGGCCATTCAGACACTTGGGTGTTCTCCTCGAGACTACATGCTGTCATTACTTTCGTTTCTTGCCTCAGCTGGAATACAATCTGCAGGAGGACAGGGCGTAAGCCTTGCTCACTAATGTGTCCTCCTTTCCTCCAAGCTGCCTGGTGCATAATAAGAGCTTGTTTTGCAGAGCAAAAGGGAGAAACAAAGGGAGGACCAAGAACGGAGTAAAATCTGCGGTTGACTGGAGCTGATGGAGATCTGTCCAGCCCGCCGCCGTGTAAAGGTCATGGAGACAATAGCAGCCTGCGCTATAGAACAGGTTGGGACACAAGGTCGGGAGAGTAAAGGCAAACCGGGAAAGCAGTGCAGTAAGGACACAGACTGCGGCTGGGTGGCCCCTCAGCCACCACACTGAGCAAAGGGTTCAGCAGGTCCTAAGTGAATCAAGACGGAACTGGCTCCCAAGCCCTACTGTTCAGCACTCATCCTCTTGGTCACAGAATGGCACAGAGTTTCTGGTTATTCCAAGCACGGCTTCCCTCACTTCAGGATATGCTTTCTGCTGCCCATGTAGGTGCTTCAGGGCAACTCAAGAGAGGCATCCAACCTGGTAAGCTCAGGAGGAAAGGTACCCACAGCCACTAAGGCAGCCTCTGTCTGCACTGTGCCTTGCTGTGGGGGGCTGCCCACAGGGGAAGGACAACTCTGTAGTCCTCTGAGGGAAGTCAAGAAGCTGACTTGACCTAGAAGATGCTAATTGCGAGCTGTGTTCGCCTGTCCTCGGTCCCCATGGACCTCAGCCTGGAGCAGTGAGTAGGATTTCATATTTGAAATGATCCTTACAGCTTTGGCCAGTTGTGACTGGAAGAACAGCCGAGGAAACCTGGAGAGGGCTGTGACCGTGGAGGATCTCCTGGTCGGGACAGGAGAGGAAGGCTCTGGGCAGAGTTCTGGATGGAGGAGAGGCTCTGCAGAGCCCAGGCTAGACTTCCCAGACAAAGGCCTGTACGGAGGGGGATGGGCTCAGCCTAGGGACACACTGGGCCTGGACCCAGGAGATGGGCCTCATAGTGCTTGTTTGCATTTTCCTGGGTACCAACAGGCTTCTTTACCACCTTCCTGTGTCTACTGGCCCCCATGCTCTTCTGTCTGTAAAACGTCCATTCACATTTTTGTTTGGGGGGACTTTCGGTTTTGTTTTTTGGTTTTTTGGTTTTTTTGCCCAACTTTTTCTACCCCATTAGGATTACATGACTCCATGTATTATTGATTCT